ACACACACACACACACACACACACACACACACACACACACACACACACACACACTACTGGCTGGTTTTTGTGTGTCAACTTGACACAAGTTGGAGTTATCACAGAGAAAGGAGACTCCCTTCAGCAAATGCCTCCATGAGATCCAGCTGTAAGGCATTTTCTCAATTAGTGATCAAGTGGGGAGGGCCATTGTGGGTGGTGTCATCCCTGGGGTGGTAGTACTGGGTTCTAGAAGAAAGCAAGCTGAATAAGCCAGGGGAAGCAAGCCAGTAAGTAACATCCCTCCATGGCCTCTGCATCAGCTCCTGCTTCCTGACTTGCTTGAGTTCCAGTTCTGACTTCCTTTGGTGATGAACAGCAATGTGGAAGTATAAGGTGAATAAACCCTGTCTTAGTTAGGGTTTTACTGCTGTGAACAGACACTGTGACCACACCAACTGTTATAAAGAACAACATTTAATTGGGGCTGGTTTACAGGTTCAGAGGTTTGTCCATTATCATCAAGGTGGGAACATGGGAATGTCTGGCCAGGCTAAGAACTCTACATCTTCATCTGAAGGCTGCTAGCAGAATCCTGGCTTCCAGGCAGCTAGGACTAGGGTATTCCATGCCCACAGTGACACACCTACTCCAGCAAGGTCACACCTATTCTAACAAGGACACATCTACTCTAACAAGGCCACACCTACTCTAACAAGGCCATTATCTCCAAATAGTGCCACTCCCTGGGCCACGCATATACAAACCATCACAAACCCTTTCCTCCCCAAATTGCTTCTTGTTCATGATGTTTTGTGCAGGAATAGAAACCCTGACTAAGACACAGGGACACACACTGTAGCCTGGGCTAGCATGGAACTCACTACGTAGGCCATGAACAAAGTATTTCCTTCTTCCCGCAGACAGTTTCTTTCGCAGAAAACTGGCCATCCCTCTCCTAGCCATGTGCTGTGTGGGTAGAAACACCCAACATTTTGCACATGTGACTGGAGGGTCTCTGGGTTGGGGTTAGGTATATGTCACCATGCTTTTTATTTCTAATGTACATTCACACTGGCTCACCGACACCCATAATGACTGAGTGAAAAGAGAAGATCTTGTCTGTGACATAGCAATATAAAACCTATCTAGATGATAATGCTATTATCATCTAGATAATATTATACAGTCTATTTTCTAATATAAAAGTGACATGTGTAAGCAAAGCAAGAGGGCGGAACACAAATGACCTATAACTTATACTATTATAAACACAAACTGGCACCATTGGTAGATTCCTAGGAGTGGGTCATATGTTACATCTATATCTTCTTGAGGAAACTCTATACTGATTTCCACAGTGGCTGAACTGGAGTATGGTCTGGCCATTAGTTTGTACTGATTCCCCTTTTGTCCACACAAAGGGTATTTGCTGTTTTCTTAGCCAGTGACAATCTTACTAGGTGAGATGAAATTTCAATGTTGTATTTCTGGGATGGGTAGGGCGGGGATTTGAATGAGAATGGCCTCCATAGGCTCAGATATCTGACTGGCTGGCCCACAGTTAGTGGAACTGTTTGGGAAGGATTAGGAGGTGTGGTCTTTTTGGAAGAGGTGTGTCACTGGGCGGAGCTTTAGGTTTTAGAAGCCCGCTACATTTCCAATCAGTTCCCTCTTTCTCTTTCACGCTTGTGGATCAGAATGTCAAGCTTTCAGAGACTGCCCCAGTTCCATGCCTGCTGTCCACCAAACTCCCTGATGTGACAGGCATGGACTCTAACCCCCTGAAACTTTGAGCCCCAAATTAAATGCTTTCTTTTTTAAGTTGCCTTGGCCACAGTGTTTTAACTATAGCAACAGAAAACTAAGACATCTAGTGTCGAACTTGTCTCACGAATTTCTTGGCTGTGTGTACTTAATGTTTGCAGAGCTGTGTGCTCATTTCATTAGCCCATTCACCTTAGCACTATTCACAACAGGTAAGCTATGGTTGATGCATGTGCAACCGTAAAGGAATGGAAGAAAACAATGTCAACGAGATCTTATCTTTTAGCTGTAAAGAAGAAGGAAGTTAAGTTCTCTACAGGAAAAAGGATACAATTGGAGAGAATCATAGTAAGCTAATCTATTCAGTTTCAAAAAGAAAGATGTCTTATGTTTTCTTTTGCTTATGGTCCCTACATTTATATAGACTCATGTGTGTGCTGGTCCCACCAACGTAGAAGTGAAGCTGTCTACGGAAACACAGAGAGTTAACAGGATGAGAAGAAACGAGAAGGGGCAGGGTCAGAAGGGGATATGCTCAAAGCACAATATATACTTGCAGGAAACTGCCTTATAATTCCCTGTTTAACACAGTGAGCAATGACATAAAAATAGTGTTTACTTTTTGGATTCTAGATAAGTGTTGTATTGTTTTTGGTTGTTCAGGACTGGGAAAGCCCATATTAAAAGAGAATTTTTATGTCTTTTGATGGAGGGCACTTGTGAAATTTGGTGTACTTGTGACTCTTCTGTGTGTGTGTGTCCGTGTGTGTGCCTGTGACCCTGTGACTCATGTATTTGGGTGAGACTGTGACACTTGTATATGTGTGTGTGTTTGTATAAGACTGTAACACCTGTATATGTGTGTGTGTACTACAGCCCTGTGACTTTTATGTGTATCTGTGTATGTGCCTGTGACTCCTGTGTGTGTGTGTGTATACCTGTGATTTGAGTATTTGTGTGAGCCTGAGACTCCTGTGTGTATACCAATGACTTGTGTGTGTGTGTGTGTATGTGTGGAGACTGAGACTTGTGTGTGTGTTTCTGTGACTCATGTGAGCATATGTACTCAGGAATCACTGAGTAAGAAAGGCAAAGCCTGCGAGCTCACTTTCATTGGTTGAGGAAGGAGGTCTCAGGACGAGACAGAAAGTGGCAGCCATAGCGGAGAGGGAGGCAACGAACCACAGTCCCAGGGGAACCAGTAAAAGAGACATGGAGTGTTTCCCTGCCTATGGCTTTACCTTGACTCCATCTTTATCCTCCTTTCTAGAGTCCATTGTGTTTCCCCTCAGTCCTCCACTGTCCTAACCTCCCTCCAGCCCCATTTTGGGCCAGACTGCCAAATCCAATCTGGGCCTGACTGGAGCTGGGCTTAGGATGAGGTGGCTAAGTCCTGGCTCCAGAGACCATGTGATATCATCCTTAATACCAGCCTTGTGATCGACTGAAGTCAGAACACATCCTACGCATTGGGTTTAGTCTGTGTTTGATCCATTGATTCTTTTTTAGAAATTAGTTTCTATTTCTTGGAAAGAGCCAGAAGCAATATTAATTGCTGCATCTAACCCTGAAGAATTGCCAAGGTAAAATAATGCTGGCCTCTTAGGATAATAATTTAGTCATTTGGAGTGGAGCGGGGATGGGGGTGGCGGGGGAGAGGGAAATTACCAGCAAGCTTCATGGTTTGTTCTTGCTGCTTGCTTTGAAGTTATTTATTTATTTATTTATTTTTAATCGCAAGGGAATAATGCAGACGAGAATCCTCTACATTTACCTGATACACTAAAACTCTGTTCGCTAATGTAAAGAATGAATCAGGTTTACTTTACTATGGCTGAAGGTGATTTCTTGCAACCCGTGCTTTGGTGTTTAATCTACATTGCCTTTATCAAATAGCTACCATAAATCACAGCTTGCCTTCTAGATGCATTTGGCCTGTAATGGAAGAGTGATAAAAAAACAAAAACAACAAAAAAAACAAAGCCACCTTACGAGTAAATGCAGAGGCCATTTTGAAGGCCCAATTACACCAGCATAATGAGAAACACCACATCTCTCATAAAAAAAGCCAACAATAGGTGGGGCTTCAGTCAATGGTGAAAAGACAGCATAGAGATTCTGAGGTCGGCCGTCTTACTATATATCCACACTGCACATACATTCAAACTGCAAAGAAAGACACCTCTCAATGGCTTCCCGTCTCCTTCACCATTCCTATTTGTGACTTTGAAAACTGTCGCTATTTAAACCAAGTCTAACTTATTCCCATCTATGCAGGAGGAAGCCATCGCTGCTCACGGACCGGGAGAAGGAAGATCACACACTCAGGATTCTTAGGGTGACATTGGCAAGGCTCATCAGATAGCCAGAGATTGTATATCTTGTGCTACAACCAATTTCTAAATTCCCCAGGGAAGAATTTCCTTTTAGGCATCTGAAGGTTTCAGAGGCTGGTATGATTTGTGACATATAGTCAGGGTACAGAGTTGAGGGTGGCAGGTGGTGTGCAGGCAGGCTGTCGACACAGAGCAGCACTGGGGACACACACACACACACACACACACACACACACACCCATACACACACACACACACACCACAGTGCTGGACACACCCACCATGGTGCTGGACATACACACACCACAGTGTTGGAGACACACATCACAGCACTGGACACATACATACCATGGTGCTGGACATG